GCGCGCATTACTTGGAATTTTCAGGAGGAATTACCTATTTACAAAGCATTATGAAAGATTTGATATGGCCGTGGAACCTCCTTTTGTTGATGTTGGATCCAGTCTGCCTGATTACAGGACCACTGACTTCAAGATTGGGGAATACTTACGGAGCTGATTCTAGCATTCACTCAGTTTTGCCTTCTCAAAATCCTTCTGTACCAGCACTGCCAGCGGCAGCACCAGAGAAGGCGACGAGTTGAAGAAACTCACGAGTATTCATGAGTGCACTCATGGGAAACTCATGGGAAACTCGCACTCATGAGTGCCCCTCACTCTCAAGAGTATTTTTTCACGAGTGCGAGTATTGGTTTTGATGAATTCAGAAAACTCGTGAGTATTTGTGAGTACTCCAAATTTAAAATAATGAATTTCATTGGCAAAATGGACAGCCTGTTAACCTTACATTGTTGTTTAAAGTCATGTAGTAATCTGAAAAAGCTTGAAAAATGTAAGGACTTTGGAGGACTTTGGTTCTACTGACCCACTTTTATTCATTTGTCCATCAACTGAGGGAGGTGTACAATGTGTTACACTGAGTCTATTGACCTCAAACTTGAAATTTGAGCTTTTGGAAGTGGTTACTCTCTATGGAAATTGTAGATAAAGAGTTTGGAGGACTTTGGGTTTTCCTGATTTTCATTATCCATCAGTTAAAGGTGCTGTGCAATGTGCTATACTGAGCCTATGGATCTCTAATTTGAAATCTGTGCTTTACAGGATAGTTACTCTAAAAAAATTGTAGGTGAGGAGTTGCAGTGAATTGGTATTTCCTGAATCTCATAGACCCACCCTGACCCTCCTGCCCTTCACTTAAAGGAGCTGGACAGTGTGCTACACTGAACCTATGGATCTCAAACTTGGAATCCGAAAATTTGGAAACAGTAACTCTCTAGGAAAATTGTGAGTAAGAAGTTTGAAGGACTTTAGCATTTCTCATTCTGGTTTAGGATTACTATTACTAAATTTGACATGAGACTCAGATAGCCTTGGATAGAGACACTGTCAGGATACCATGTGGATTCATAAAAATCATTACAGACCTTATGAACCCTGATCTACTTCCTTAATAATTAATTGATTATAGATGTTGTAGCAACTCATTACAACTTTGAAACAATTATAGCTGCCTTTTAATTCCCTGGAAGCTCACTAGAATGATATTCAAATCCTCCTAAGTGGTGGTAATATCTTGACATTTCAATGGAGACTTGTACTGCCTTGAAAGTTCCTGCAAATTCCCACAATGTGGTCTGATTGGTAGATGGTTATTATGTACATAAAAGTTTGATATCACTGGAAACAAATTTGTGTAAATCCAAGGAATTACAGAAGAATTACAGAGGATTTATAATAGGAATTACAATGAAATTACAGTAATTCCTAGCATAATTCCACTGTAATGTTTCTGTAATCCCTCGGAATTACACAAATTTGCACCCAGTGTATGTTTTTTTATTGATAAATAAATATCTACTTCTGTTTTACTTTGAGTTTATGTTACAAGTTACTCGCAAGTAACTCACAAGTATTCATGACACTTGCAATGGTATGAGTACTCGCAGAACTCGTGAGTTTTGAACTCATGAGTTGCGAGTTTATTCCCACGAGTTTTTTGTGAGTGCGAGTAGCAATTTCAAAAGTTAAATACTCATGAGTTTTACCCATGAGTCACTCGTGAGTTAACTCGTGGCCTTCTCTGGGCAGCACCCTAGATCCAGTCTTCACCAATTCCTCAGTCATCCCACCATGACATGATTTGGGTTGAGGATGATCTCCCACCACCACCACCCTCCACACCCGGACATGCTATACACCATAATGTCACGGTAAAACAGAACATGAGACAAGCCTATCTCAGGCTTTTTTACATTGGAATCAGTAAACAAGAATACATTTCAATGTGTGTTTTCGTCCGCAAAGAAGACATATTTATTTGTTATATTCTAAGAGATAAATATGAAACATGTCATACTTATGAGGCATGTTCACCTCAGAATTACCTGATGTCACCAACTTCTGTTCCTTACTCTCAGCATTGTCAAGAATAACATACAAGTTAATACTTCCTTGTCTCTACCATTAATCAGCCATTAATTAGACATCAAGTGGACGCACCAACATGGCTTTTAGAAAACATACGTGGCGAGATGGCCGAGCGGTCTAAGGCGCCAGACTAAGGACCAGGGTGCTTTGCGCCCACGTCATCTGGTCCGAAAGGGCGTGGGTTCGAATCCCACTCTCGTCAATAGATATGCATTGGAAAAATTTGACTTTTTCCCTTTTATGTTGTGCCGGAGAAAGGCTCAATTTGGACTGAGTAATACACAAGCAAATACCGAGTTCTGATCTTAGGATAGAGCAAAAACCTTTACACATTTAAGTCCTAAGTCTGGAACAAAATATGCAAATTATGATTGAACAATATAAAAATAACTACGGTGGCTAAGGTAATAAGTCTAAGTTTATGAGTTCTGCATTCAATAATTTTAGCTATATGAAAATTTGAGCTCTTGGTAAGAAAGAAATGAGGGATAAGATAGCTATGCAATAAGAATTAATGAATATTTGTTGAGTGTTAAGCAGACTTCTCAAAGACTGGAATTACGAGTTCTGTCCTATCAGATATGTCTATATTACGGAAATAACCTGCGGAATATCAATTGAGATGGTATACGAGACGAGACTAACAAAAACTTACGAGGAGAGTAGTACCAAACAACTGTTCCTTGAACAAAGTGCTCCAAAGCTTTCAAGTAACGAGAAAGCTCCCTGTCAACGTTGGATCCAAAAGATGGCAAACTTTTCCTCAATAATTGGTATTCGGCAACACGGTCACTGAGCATAGATATGACATGGTCAATCGCATCTTGTAAATCCAGATCTTTTTCCTCCATGACGACGAAAACCAGATTTTGATAATCGCCATCTGCTTGTTCTTTCTGTTGCGGGAGATAATGTCAGTTAAAGTGAACACTCTTGCAAAGCACACAAAACTAACATTGAAGGAACAAATATCCTATTCATGAAAGTCAATACATTGATGAGTTGAAGACATCATCTCGAAATAAATTGTACTCACATTTGGCCAGGTCATCATGTCGTTAGTAGCATCGGACATCGCTCGGATTATTGGGTGTTCGAAAACGTGCTCAGGAAGATCGATGTCGAGGGAATACTCGATCATAGCTTTGTAAGTCGTTTCAATGATTAGATTTATTACCGTGCTCTACAGTGGCAAAAATAGGCCTACCTTCAACCATACCACATCCAATTGTTGCCCGTCGCATCGGAATGAATTCCTCTATCGTGGGCATACGACCCATTTTTCTGTTGGTTCCTTGTTGAAGTTGGCCGTTAAACCATTCAATAGCCGATTTTGTGAACCTATTTTTTGAATAGCCAAGTCAGCGTTTATTGAATATTCATTTCGAGTATGGAATACGAACCTGTCGCATACTCCTGGAGTCGCCGTCTGTCTGAGCTCTCTCCAAATACTAAATTGATTGTTGAGCACTCCCAAATGAGTGTTTCATGAAGGAAATGTCTTACTGGGTCAACATCCTGGCATATGGGAACCCTGTTCTTTTGGGGACGGGATCGCATAGAATACTCATGCAAAGCTTTACTCCAATTTCGTGTTCTTCAGGCTTTGCCTGGAGCTCTCCTTCATCTGAGAGATCATCAAACTAACCAAGAACATAAGTATTAAATAACAGCAAACCAGAGAAGTAGAACTTACTGAGAATGCCCAGAAAAAGAAATCAATACAAGTTTCGAGATGTTGTTGATCAGCGTCAGGGAAGCTTAGCTCTGCGAACAAGTCGAAGCGATGGCTGAGGAATCGTTGCAAGTTTTTACCATGGTAAGCACCGATGCTAAATAAGAAGAATTATTGGTTAGATGTCTAGTATCATACTCAGCTTGAGAACTCCAGGAAATCTACCTTTTGAACCATGCTTCACTCGCTTCGTTCGCTTCTCGAATGTGAGGATTGCTTTTCAGCTCACATACAACACCCGTAATAGCAGCGAGGTCTCGCAGATGAAATTGGGAAGGGAAAGGACGCATTCTGGTAATGCTAGTATAACTGGACGAATGTAAGATAGTTGGACTTGAAAAAGTAGTTGGTTCGTTAATTCCTGACGAATTTTTGGGGTTTTTATACTCCCATTTCCTGTACATCGTGTGACTGAATGTTAATGAATCGCATGAGTTTCACTATCCGAATGTTTACGTTCTGAGAGGAGCATCATGGATCAGCGGGAGACAAAGCTTGTATCGAGAATTGGGCGTGACATTTGAAGTATCACTTACTCAGTATGTCTTCCGCGTATTGATTTCTTCATTCTTCCACTTAACGCTCAATGCTACAAGACACGGAGCTCGAAATGGTCCGCGTGAAATCAAGGACACGATGAAACCAAGGACAAGTGACGATCATTTTTTTTGGCTTCAAGTTTCGGTTCTTGATCTTAAAGTGTATATTCTACGGTGTCTAACAAAATGCGCATTTGGCCACAGACGGGGGTACGACCGAAGGAAAAAACGGCCTTGTAACGATGTTCCCGGCGGACGGTGATCAGCCCGTATAACCCAATAATAGATGTTCATGCAGTGTGACCGGTAGCGTATCGAATAAGTAAAAACCCAAGATGGGAGCATAGTTTTCTCCGTTACTTACTCCTTGGATCTCTCACACACCACGGAATTAATAATCCTTCGCATCTCATCATAATGTACAAATAATCCCGCAATGAAGTACAAAGAGCAGCCCGCCACACTTGGGAACGGCAATCATTCTCTTACGTCCGGTCTCGGACTTTGGTGGTTGTCGTTTGCACAGGTGGCGTCAGAGTCTAAAAATGAAAACATACCTATCTTTCTCCGAGTCGTATTGAATTATGTATTTCCTATGGGATAAATTAGAATGGATGGTTTTAGAAGATAAGTCAAATGTTTGTTATGAAGAGATCCTAGCCAATCGTTGCCACATCAATCTCAGGAAGGATTCGAATCTGATATGCTGAACGGAACTTGAACCTGATCCATTGATTGATACATTGTATAGCCCTCTCGCATTTGATGTCCGGCAATAATGCATGAAGTCCAAATTTTCCGCATCATTCGCGTGAAGAATACCGATCACACTTGTAATGATAATGACCTTGGAGAAATGAGCGGTCCGTTGATCATTCGTTCTAAATGTCCGACGGTAACTCAGATCTACTTGAAATCTACGGTTATCTACGTATACGGTTACTTGAACCGGGCCGAGTCGTCTGAAGCATAGACACCAACGACCGTAGAGGTTTGGCCCTGAAACCGGTTTTAGGGCAAAGAGCGCTAGTTGGATTAAATGCTCTCGACTGCGGCCTGTACATATACTAAAACTACCAAGCCCTTTTATTACAGAAAACTGCGTAACAAGTATTACATTAGAAGACCGAGAAAACTATGAAGATCTGATTTTATATACAGGGGGACGCATCCTAGCTTTGAAGATTGTTCCGCCATAAGTCGAAGGAACAAAGGCTTAAGTATCCTGTTCACTTGATTCTTCAGCTCCTTCAGCTTTGGGTCCGGAACTAGCTACCAGAGTGTCACCAGCCTCTCGGATGCACTTTTTTTTGATCCCTGAATGGGCGAAGAATCTAGACACATACCTCTTTACTTTCAGAGACGTATCCCGCAAGTGCGACGACGGCGAACGGTAGTCGTGAAACAGATCACGTGATTTATAGGATCTTTGACCGAGCCCTCAAGCAACCCCAGAAACTCGTAGAGAAAATTCTCATTGAAGATATCTAGCCCTTAACCCAATTAGAACATGATACTTAACAATCTACGGATAGCTCAGCGTCCTGGCTTAAAGTTTACATTCCGTATAATTATGAAAACAGCTGTAAGAGAAAGCGATAGAAGCGATCACATGTCCGGTTCAGGAAAACCGAAAACGGCAGGCACTTTGAAAGTGACTTGATGATTGTCATGAAGCAAGCTCTCAATCTTTTCAAACTGGTATACAATTTACTGACCGTCATCCTAGTCGTTCCTTTACTTTCAAATCTGTACCAACAATGTCTTCTAGATCTTCTGACCCACATCCACTCCTCGCCCCTACCCTCCCGCTTTACTCCTCGACTCCCCCTCCTCTCGGCCACGCTCTCAAGACCCACTTTTCTTTCGACCCTTCTTACGTGAACTTGAATCATGGCTCCTATGGATCTTTACCTTCTCCCGTTCTCGATGCCATCAAGCCTATTGCCGCCTTGGCGGAAGCGAACCCGGACAAGTTTCATCGATTTGAGTATATCCCCATGTTGGCAGAAGTCAGACGGAGGCTAGCTAGCCTAATGAGCGAAAAAGAGGGAGACGTGAGTGTAGATGAAGTCGTTTGCGTACCAAATGCGAGTCATGGGATTAGTACCGTGTTGAGGAATTTCATCTGGGAAGAAGGCGATATCGTGATTGACTGTGCGTTTAAACACGTAAACTGTCATCATACATTTAACTGCTCAACTTTTTTTTTGCAACCTCTCAGGCAATACGACATACGGTTCAGTCGGCCGCACGGTCCAGTACCTCAACGATGTCCCTCCTCATCCAAAAATCGCTCAATTTACGATGTTGTTCCCAACGACTCGCACCAAGATCCTAGAAGACTGGCGTTTACACGTCAGGGCTGTACAGCAGACGCGTCTCCAGAACGAATCACCTACTGCCCCAACCACCGTCTCATCATCCAATGAAACGCAACACGAGTCTGGTACTACCCAACAGAGTCAACAGAAACAATCGAATACCACCGCTAATAAGAAACTTCCCAAAGTCGTAGCTATCATCGATTCCATCATTTCCGTCCCCGGTGTATCTCTTCCTTGGGCCGAGATGGTCCAAATCCTACGTGAAGAGTGCGGAGGAGGAGAAGACGCAAATGTATGGTCTGTAATCGATGCGGCGCATAGCATTGGACAGGAGGTAAGTCTCTTCTTTTTGCCTTTTTATTTTCATTCTGTCTCGCTAGAGAGAAAAAACCATCTATGCTTATTGTTCACGTTAATGAATACTTCTTACAGGTCACCCTCCCCAAGTCCATCTCCCTTGCCCAACCTGACTTCCTCATCACCAACTGTCACAAATGGTTATTCACCAAACGGAGCTGCGCGGTGTTATACGTGCCTAAGAGGAACCAGCACGTTATTAAAACAACTTTTCCTACATCTGCGACGTATATCCCACTAAAGG